TGCTCGCACGCTCGATCTCGCCCTACCTGCTCCTGCGCTGTGCGGTCTCGCTCAAGTCTTATATCGCAGACCAGCCACTACGCGGCTTGATGCCCCAGCCCACGCCTGCCCGCAAGGCCCTGCTCCATCTACTTGTTAGCATGGTTGAGCTGAAGAGTGAGCCATCGGCTATCCCGGATCCGCCTTCGCTGAAGACCGTCTCGGCTCTCGCGGCTGGGGGTGCGGAGGAGCAGCACTATCGGAAACATCTCGAGTGGATTTATCCGTTGGTTGTGCGCGCTGTGCAGGTCGCTGGTAAAGAGCGTGATGATGGCCAGATTCTCCAGGCGCTGGGGAAGGTGTTGCAGGAGATCGGTCGGTTTGAATATTAGAACTAGGACTTGTGTGGATAAAGTATGGCCTGGCTGTGTGTGTACTATGTACTATGGCGATTAATGCACTGTTTTTACCTTATACGGACTAACACATACAATCTGAATCTAAGATCAGGTTTGATTTGAAATGAGACTTGGCACGAATTTAGACAGAGTAAAGTATACTACAGAGTGATGTCGTGACATAGCCATGAGACGGATCAATGGACACAAAAGGAATAGTGCGTAGTAGAGGAGTAGGGGAAATCGAGAGCAGAGACAAGAGGCGGGTATAGAAGAACAGATCCGCAGGTACCAAGTGTAAGAAAAACGCGATAATGAGGATAGAATAAGGTAGTCTATGCTGCGGGCGCGGGAACAGGCTGAGGCTCCTGCCGAAGTGGCGCGGCTTCTCTGCCGGGTCCAGCGGTAGCAGAGCCCGGGGGAAGAGCGGGCTGCTGGCGCTGTTGCTCAAGGAGCATTTGCTGCTGGATCTGCTGTTGCTGTGCGATCTGGGGATTCGGGGCGATCTCGGGGGCTTGGCGGTAGAGCGCAATTTCGGATTGTTTGAAGTAGCGACGGGCGTCTGTTATTGGGTTAGTTTTAAGACATTGAGATTGTAGGCCAATGATGTATCAGAGATGGGAGGAGTGTATGGTAAATTATATCGGTGGAGTTGCCGCCAGAAGGGGTTTAGCGTGGGGGTCTCGGGTTTTGGGGGTCTCGGATACAGACCGGCAAAATGATGCAACACGGGCCGACCTGTATGGTTGTATTGGGTAACTCCCATTGCCGGCGGCTATTGCATTTTGCCTCTGCACCCCGCATTCTGGGGATGCATCATGGACTGATTTGAGGATTGCCAAGGACGGGGAAAGAACAGAGAGAACGTGGGGTAATTAGAACATACCTTCGTCAATCAGTACGAGACTGAGATAGTACCTTGTCGAGTACTTCTTGTTAACGTCGCGGAATGTCGGCGTCAAGTCAAATCCACCAAGGAAGAGACGGATCGGAATGGTTTCACCTATAGAAAGTCAGCTGTGCTCAAGATTACCCCAAGCCTGCCAACCCTCGCGAGATTCATTGAAAGCAGGGGTTGGTGACCGTGACGAGGTCCGAAGTTTTCGAGGCATCCACTAACCTCTCGATGGCGAACCGTCCATAATCTGCATGCAAGTTAGTAAGTATTCTTATGGTCTGTATTTCATACCCGAACATCACATCAAGTGTTCAATATACCACATACCTCAAAGCGCACCAAAGTCTCACTCTCGTTATATTGATTTGGCGGTGATCCCGTTGTCTCCCGTCGAATGATAGACAATTCCATATGCTTGATCTTGAGCCGCACGAGCAAGAAATAGATACGACCGACAATCACATCTTTGAGATGATACTTGGATTTGGAGTATTCGAATTCGATATGCAGGCAGTCCTCGATACCGACGTCCATCTTGATGGGGCTGTTGTTCTCAGGTGGCATGCGGTACGAGTACACCCACAAGTCCTTTTCCCGAATGACGTCGGCCATGCGCCGCGAGACGGTCACCCGGACAAAGTAGCGCAGCTTGACATTGATGCCATTGTAAGACTCGTATTGCTTTTCGACGTTCTTGAAATTGAAGGGGAAGGTCTGCGGGTGGAGCAGCTCGCCGGGCGCGGCGAGCTCCTGGACCAGGGAGAGGAATTCATAATGGTTCCCTCGGTCGTAGAACATCTCTGTATTTCCGAAATAGAACGGTGTCAGCGGTCAACCTGCGATGGCGAATTCAGCTGAGAGAGGCTGGGTAGCAGATCCGACGCACCAATCGTGCCAATAAATTGCACCTTGATCCCCGTGTGTTCCAGTCGCTTGCCATCCTTCGGTCTGATGGTCACGGCACCCTTGACGGACTCGCCGTCCATGTACAGAGGGACCCGCTCGCGGCGGCCCTTGTCGAGCTTGACGTCAACGGTCTGGCGCTCATCGAGGTCTTCGAGGACCACATCAATGTCGACCGGGGTGGAGAAGAAGAGCGAAGCCATGATGGAGGTAATTGAGGCTGCAGCTATCGAGGCCCGAACCAATAAGTCGGAGCTTTGATGATCTGGAGCTGTCGCGGTGGCCTGGAGATGGCTTATGTAATACCGCCTCCCCGCCCCGCCCTGCACCGATATGTTCTTGCATACATAGAACTGGTATAAGATCTAAATACAACATATACCTACATATATACGATATACATTCTTTTCATATTTAGCTTACACTTGGTCCCCTTCGCTGTTACTTCTGGAACTAATATTCCAGGTACCACTGATCTACAACTACCCGTTGAACTTTGGACTCTGATCCACAGGAGGAGCTCCTCCATATTTCCCACCGATTGGAGCTGAAGCATGTCTTCGCTGTCTTTCATCCAAAATACAAATTAACCATACGGATCAGGACCCAGCACACCCTCTAGGCCACACCGGGCAAACACGAGATCGGATGTGTCGGAATCCGCTTCCCGCGCGACTCCCTCGTGACCCTAGAAAATGAGCGAAAGACGCTTTAGTCTCAGTCATCCGACTTATTTACCCGGAAGTTCCTTTCTTCCCCGGATTTTTGAAGTGGAAATCAATTACTCTGTAGGTGCCTACCAGGCACACCCGGGAATAGTCGGTGTGACTGTGAATCACCATGTATATTCCATGCTGTCATGTCTGTTGTCCTATCGGATGAAACCATATTCTCCGGAACGTTTCTCTCCCCATGGGAGTATATACATAGTCCATACCATCTTTCAAGGTGGATCTGCGAATCTCGCATGTGGGTCGTTTCTCGGTGTCGACTTTCTCGGGATAGTGAAAGATAAAGAATGACGAAGGTATTTGGATCTATTCGAGTCAAGTATGGAAAATGACGGTTTGGATCCAAACTGGCGGTGTCTTGTTAGCGTGGGGGTTAATACCCGTGACATCATGTATGGTTTGGTATTTTGTAATTTATGGAATTGTACATTCAATAAGAGAGAGTTGATGTGTCCAAGTACAAGTAGAGAGAGCTATACATATTAGCATGAGGTATTCCCTTTGGGTATCTAAAGATATTCAACTTGGCCTATTCCTAACCCCCAATATAAACCAATAACCGTACGAAGGTCCTCCCCCCCACTCGGCTTCTGCTGGAATCTTTTTACCCGACCCACCGTAACAATATAAGTACTTGAAAGGTAGGCTCGCGCTCTTTTGAAATGATAATTCTGATCATTCTTGACCTGTTATACGGGTATCACTGCAGCGTCATACCTCCACCCTGACCCAAGTTATAAAACTGGAACCAAATCCAATCCATTTCTCTCCCAAAATCCAACACCTTTTTCTCTACAACATGCTTTCCGCAGGGGAAAGACCTCAGCCTTCCCACACTCCCACCATAGTAGATTCCACCGTGAGCAAGGCGCGCATTATGCCGGACCTTGCCGCCAACGGAACAAATGGAGCAGCCTCCAAACCTACGCAAATGCAACATATCTGGGTTGTGACCGGTCCAGCAGGATGCGGAAAGAGCACTGTCGGCAACGTCCTGCGTACCGAGCTAGGCATCCCATTCCTCGAAGGCGACGACGTAAGTACTCCCAAGTACCCAAGTACCTCAAAAAGGCCTCAGGCACCCAACCATCCTATTGCGCCCAACCCCAGCAACCCCCGGGAACCCCCAAAATATACACACCTAACTAACAAAAATCCCCCCCCTCCCAGTTCCACCCCGCCGCAAACAAAGACAAAATGGGCAAGGGTATCCCACTCACAGACGAAGACCGCTGGGACTGGCTGATCTCCCTCCGACAAGCCGCAATCGACGCCCTCTCCCCCTCAGAAGCCAACAACTTCCACCCACCCGCCGGTGTGGTAGTAGCCTGCTCCGCGCTGAAGCAGAAATACCGGGATGTGATGCGCGTTGCTGCATATGGCTCGCCTTCGGTGCAGATACACTTCGTCTACCTCAAGCTCAGCGAGGATGTGTTGCTGCAGCGTGTTACACAGCGCCAATCACACTACATGAAGAGCAGTATGGTGCAGTCGCAGCTTGCGGCGCTTGAGGAGCCCAAGGGCGAGTGGGATGTTATTACTGTCAATGTTGAGGGTACGATGGAGGATGTGGGGCGCAATGTTATTGATGCTGTGACTGAGAAGCTCGCGGAGTATAAGTGACTTGTTTCCCCTCCATCTTTCTGTGGATTGATGGGACGGGGCCCACTCGGTCTATCGATATCTCATTACCATGTGGGTTGCGAAAATGGGTATCTATGCATGGAGGATTGTTTAGCATTTTCTTTCTTTTCGGTTTGTTGATTTTGTTCCTCCCAATGGTGTTTGGTGTTACGGCCGGCTTGGCTATGTCACCGGTCTGTTTTAGATTTTGGCGTTCTTGAGAAAGCTCGTATCTCGAGCTTCTACTTCGTGCTGTTTGGATATATCAACTGTCTGGCTTGGCAGGTTCTCGCGATATCCTTTGTTTCGGTGTGGATTTTCATGTCAATTGACCTGTCTATATCTTTTGCATCTTTTGATTTTCTCGGTGTACTAAGAAGCTGAATCTATAATAGATTGGGACTACCAAACTAGATGAACCAAGTATGCAATGTCTTGGTACTTGATCAAAACCGTGGCTTGTCTAATTCACCTAAGATTTAGAAGCATAAGCTCGGGTGACTCCACTAGGTCCTTAACCCTGTTACCCATCCTCGCCATTGTCGCACCATCAATGACACGGTGGTCCGCGCTCCAACTAAAGTTAACCATATCCCCGCGTGTAACCTGTCCGTCCTCATCAAAGACCGGCACAGCTCTAGTCTTACCCACACCGAGAATAGCCACCTCCGTCGGCACAAGTACCGGAGCCACATATGTACCTCCAATATTGCCGATATTTGACACGGTGATAGTACCACCACTGATATCTGCGGGTGTCAACTTGCCGCTTTGACCAAGGGCACTGAGCCGCGCGACCTCAGCGGCAATATCAATAATCGAACGGTTGGCAACGTCCTTGATGTTGGGAACAATCAGACCGTTCGGCGTATCCATGGCAATTCCGATATTGTGCTTGGCGCGCATGACTAGCTTGGGCTTTGTGGGATCGCTGGTATCGATTTTCGAGTTGAGGATTGGGAACTCGGTCAGAGCCTGTGAGACGGCCTTGACGACGAAGGGGAGGAAGGTGATTTTGGTAGGATCGCGTTTATCGCTGGCGAGTTTCTTGCGGATGGCGGTGATGTCGTTGATTTTGAGTTCGTCTGTATAGAGGAAGTGTGGGATGTTCAGAGATTTGGTCATTGTTTTGAACATCTGTGATTGCATCGGGGTCAGGTTGACGATTGACTCTACTTGGCGTGTGTCTGGTGACACGGAGACTGGGGCGGGCGCTGATGTCGGAACTGCTGGAGAATCTCTCTCGGCTACGAATTTCAGGACATCTTCTTTCATCACCCGCCCTTCTTTGCCGGTTCCGTTGATATCGAGGATGTTCACGCCGTGGCTTTTCAATAGCCCGCGTACTGCGGGAACTGCAAGGGATGCATGCTTTGACTTGGGTGTCTCTTCCAGAACTTTGGAAGGAGGAGGGGTTATTGGAGAGGACTCGGCTGCTTGAACTGCAGGTGTGATATCAGAGGCTGGAGTAGGTTCAGACGGCACTGCCCTTGACTCGTGCGACGGGTTATCATCGGGGTATTTTCCATCTGCAACTTCAATATCGCAGAGTGCCTACCAAGACCTGTTAATATGGGAATTGCGGTGTGGATCCTAAGTGAGGACGAGTGAAGGTAGTACACACCCTGCCTGTAGGCACTGTATCATCTGTCTCGAAATGTAATTTCTTGATAACGCCCTCGTATCTCGAAGTAATCTGGGTTCGTTAGCCATTAGCCCATAGTACGGTAACAAAGGAGGCATAACTTACATCATCGACAGCCTTATCCGACTGATATTGGCACAAAGGCTTCCATTCCTCAATATGAGCCCCTTCTTCCACGTACCATTGAATGATCTGGACCTCAGTGATGCCTAGCAATTGTAAGTGAACAAATTGAGGAATAAGCTAGGGATTGAGTTTAAATTACCCTCCCCGACATCTTTTAGAACTTGTGACTTGATCCCCCATAGCAGAGAGCTTGCATGGAATCTCCGGGACAAGAGCGGTGGTAGAGTGGAGCGAATGCGGAGACGATTCTGGGGTAGACAAGGCCTGAAGTTGCGGGCAGTGATGCCACTGCTGCGGCTGAAACTCATGGTAAAAAGAGGACAAGGTGGTAGAGACCGATACAAGAGATGTTATTCTGAAAATTCCTGAAGAGAAAAGGAGCATTGTGTCTACTTTATTTGGCTCTCGAGCGACTGTTCTGCCCGCACGCCGATGCTAACCGATGCTACCCACGTGATCTCCCCGCATCTATTGCGGGTATGGGGGGAAGTATGGCCCTGACGTTATCGTCTAACTTCTTTGTCTCTGTTCAAATTCATCAATGTTTGTTGCTTTGCTCTATGGAATATCAATTAGGAAGTGCAAGCAAATAAGAATGTCACAGGTTATACATGGGACAGCTAGGCAGCACAAGATGAAGCAGACTGTGGAATAGAGCCCAGAGGGCAGTCATATATCATCAGTGGAGGTAATTGGAGTAGAATCTATATGGTATAAACAATAGGCTTTGGTCTACTTGACTCTAGATCAAGGTAGTCTGCTAGAATCCTCCCTGGGTGGCTGAGTGGGTGAGAGACACAAGGCTATCTGATTGCTGAGTGAAACAGTGACCACGGGTGACACCGCATTGGGAAGCTCAGTAAATGGTGAAACTGGTGAGGGTTTCGACCCTGCGCTGGGAGTAATTGGGGTACGGATCACTTTTTTTTTTTCTTTTGTTCTTTTTTACTTGACAAGCTAAGAGACCGGTATAAGACCATCTATCAGGATCTCTATCTAATGAATGAAGAATGGCACTTTATCAGCCATATCAGAGTGCTTCCAATGTTCAGACACTTTTGATATATCGATGCAGGTGTAATGATGCGGATATGCGATCCCTGAGGTCCACTGCCGTCTATCCCATCCGTCATGCAGGTACCACAGCTTTCAAAACTCCACCCAGGACGCTACTACGCTACCCAAGATTGAGCTCAGATAAATATAGATTTCCAACGCCATTGTTGGGTTTCCAGTCCATGCCTGAACGAGGAACACAAAGGTGTATCCGTCGTGATTGTCAGATTTGACTTGTTCCTTTCAGTCACCCAAATCCGGGCTCGGGTCTCAGCCACAGACACTGCGCTAATTCCCAGTGATGAACTAAATGAATATGCTCTAGTTCTGCAAGAAACCAAAAAAAAAAAAAACTTCGAAGCCTCGAATTTTGTCCGCGTGTCAGAGGTGGAGACCATATCAACATGATCGTCTTCACCCTAACTCAATACAGAAACCGAGGCCGATCCTGCAAGGCCCGAAATTCACTAGACTAGACACCGAGACACCAGATAACGAGGTATTTTTGGTTGTATAATCCCTTAATTTTCTGAATGAACATTTAACCGGTTTCAAGCTACAACTATTCCAAGCGTACCGTACCAACATCACGTTATTAGGTACGTAGGCCGATTACGCTGGCGAAGAAGCTTAGAAAGTATAAAAAAAAGTATAAGAACATCACCGGTCCCTCAACTCCTGGCCTTGTGCTTCAGGTTTTCAATCAATTCAATTTTCTTTTGTACGGTGATCCAACCATTATGGCACCCCTGACCAATGCTCTGACCTGGCTGGCCCTAGGTGCTGCTGTCACCCAAGCCCAGCTTTGGGACAAGGTCATCCAAACCTCTTACGGTCCCGTCGAGGGGTTCCAGTACTTTAATCAGTCCACTCTGGAGAAGTACTTCGATGGCGCCGAGTCCAACGTCGCCGCTTTCTTGGGTGTTCCTTTCGCTGCCGATACAGGATATCAAAACCGGTGGAAGGCACCGCAGCCCCGCGAGTCATGGAACGAGACCTTGAAGGCTATAGACTTTGGCCCTGCCTGTCCTAGTGCCTCATATTCCGACATCAGTGAAGACTGCCTCAGTCTCAACATTTGGACCAACGCTAAGACCGCTGATGCCAACCTTCCTGTCATGGTTTGGAACCAGGGTTCCGGCGAAACCAGCAACCAGGAGTGGTGGTACGGTGGTGGCATGGCATTGAAGGATGTCATTCTCATAACCTTCAACCGGCGTGACGATGCATTTGGATATCTCGCTACTCCTGAACTCAACGAAGAAGGCTATAAGCTTACTGGCCACAAGACCTCTGGTAACTATGGTGTCCTGGATCAACTGGAGGTTCTCAAGTGGGTGCAGAAGAACATTGCCAAATTTGGTGGAGATCCTGACCGTGTCACCGTTGCTGGTCAGTCTTTCGGCTCTTCTCAGGTCTACCATGCGGTCAATAGCCCTCTTTTCACGGGGTACTTCCATGGCGGTATCTCCCAGTCCGGGATTAGATACCCCTACGATACCATGCTGGCTGGCCTTGCCACCTCGTACGTCAACATGTCTACTGCTATCTCCAACAGTGCTAGCTACATCAAGGCCCACAACGTTTCTACAATTGAGGAGATGCGCAGCCTCTCCATGGAGAGCCTCCTAGTTGGTTCGTCAGATCGGGTTACCAACAGCTCCATTTGGTGGGTCACCGCACTCACTGCTGGTTATCCTCTGATCTTCAAGCCCGTTCTGGACGACTACGTGCTTCCATCTAAGTACATCGACACCCTGATCAATGGCCCTGCCAACGATGTTCCCGTGATCACTGGTAACACCAAGGACGAATCTGGTGCCTCTCCCGGCACCGACTACACCGTTGCCGAGTACGAGTACTACTGCAGCCTCAAGTATGGCAACCTCTCCAGCGAATACTTCAAGCTCTACCCCGACCACAACAACGATACCATTGGCTCTCAGGCCTGGAACGCTGCTGCTCGCGATCTCTCTCTTGTCGGTTCGTGGGCCTATGCCACTGACTGGTACAAATCTGCCACTGCAGACTTCTACACCTACTACTGGACCCATGCGCCCCCGAGCCAGGATCAGGGTGCCTTCCACCAATCTGAGATCATGTATGCGCTCGGTGCTCTTTACGCCAATTCCGATACGTACGCTTTCACTGCTATCGACTTTGAGATCCAAGAGAAGATGTCGTCCTACTGGGCCAACTTTGCGAAGACCCTCAACCCCAACAAGGGTGGGTCCTACAATGGTAGCAAATCGTTGCCACGTTGGAGCCCCAACAGTGCCGATGGCACCCAGGTTGTCATGGAACTCGGTAATCAGTTCGAAGATGTGCCCATTGCCAAACCAAAGCAGGTGGAGTTTATCATGGACTACTTCCATCAGCAGGTTCCCTATTAGAGGTGTTCTCCCTCTGTATTGACATATGTATTTAACCAGTCAACATGGTTGGCCGCTTCTGTGGCCTCGTCATGTATTTTTAGTGTCAGATATATTATTTAGATGTCTTTGAGATATTGTCGGAATACTGAGATAGATTACACGGTTGGAACAGGGTATTTTTATTGAATGGTAATGTGGGGTATTATGAGGCTGTCAAGTGATGTGGATAATGGTAATGAGACTCTGTTCTTGCTTAGAAAGTTTGCGGAAGTCATGCACTTTCAGCGCCATGCTAATGATTCTCACTTGACTGTGACTGGACCTCTATGGTGCGCAGTCTCTAAGCAATGACATCTCCATGTGGGGGGAATTGTTGCACACGCTTCTTGAGAGCTACGTTTCGCTGTTAGTTCGCTGATAGGACGATGATGGGGACGGAAATTGTGGGAAAAGCGGGTGGTGGAGCAAGGGGAAAAGAGATGGGAGAATATTATTGGTGGATGCGGAATGCACTGAGCGAATTGTGGAAAAAGCTGTGACGGCAGATGAGCTGACCGGTCCAAGTCATATGACAGTCATTTAGCTCAGATTGCTAAACGAAACCGTTCTAGTCAATATCGGCCTTCTTTATTTTGCTTCGAGCTATTGGAACTAAATGAGACTACAGGCACTCTACTCAGATATATCAACGCGATATTAGAGTCTCCGAATATGTTAAGGAACGACATCTCAAGAAGGAAGAGGAAAGCCTCTTATATCCTATTCTCCCCTTGTCCTTAATACTCTGCTTCTGCTCCCCATAATCATGGTGTATGCGCCGAGCTCGTCTCAAAAGAAGTTGTGAATGGCGCTAGGGCGAAGTGAGTAAGGTCGACTAGTTCTTATAACGCGGCGATACACAGCGTGGAAAGGCCACAGTTTCTGGCGCAAAAGCCACGCACAATCGTGTCCCTTCCGTCGTCACCCAGACTTACTCCGTACAGATCTTGAAAATCTCCGCGCTGTCTTACAATCCAAATGTCCACGCGAATCAGATTTACGCGCCAAGAACAAGGGCTCCCCTATCGGAGATCGTGCGCTGATCCCTAGTGGAGGGGTAACCCACTCCGATCCCACTCCGATCTCAGTTCTCCAGGCACCCAGTTTCGATCCATATTGAGAACCCTTTGCACGACTTGGGCTGATTCACCAATTCTCCAAATTGCCATTCACCATGGTTGCCGAATACCTCACTATCCGCAACAACACCTCCACTCCGATCGTCCTGAAGCGCATTGAGCGTTTCAAGGCACCGGAGAAGGATGGGTTCAATGCCTTCAGCACAATGGCCAGAAACCTCACCCAGGTCTTAACCAACCAAACCCGCAATGACACCGTCTCTGCCATCGAACAGGATAGTCCTCACTTCGAGGAAAAGAATGTTGACATTCACGTGGAGCCATTCGCAACGAAGAAGACCGACCTACGCCCCTTTGTCCACTCCGACAAGGAGCGCATGCGTCTAATCTTCGAGGTCGAAGGCCAGAAATACCAGATCCAAGCCCCCGTCCCAACAGCAGAGTCTGCAACAATGAAAGCACTAAGCGAGAACCCCAAACACCGCTTCACCGGCGTTTTCGTGGTCCCAGCATCCTTCCTAACAATCTTCTCGTCCGCACACCTGAATGCCTGGATGCACGAGCTCCGCGACGACACCCTCCTCTCTGCTCTCTCAATCCCAGGCACGCACAACTCGCCCACATGCCACATCGCGCCGCCCTCGGTGCGCTGCCAGGCCGTCAGCCCGAAAGAGCAGCTCGAGAACGGCGTGCGATTCTTCGATATCCGCGTGCAGCCACAGTACCCCGACGACGCAGCGCGCGACGAGCTGATCCTCG